TTTAATAAAATTAATGTTATAGGTTATATTTGTATTATTTTATTGATTTTAATATGTTATAATTTAAATTTGTGTCAATATCTTAATAAAAAAATGTATAATAATCATATAAAAAAATTTTTTTTGGCACATGACCTATCTTAAGAGTTTCCAGGGTCCTGATTAGATCCTTTATATAGATGGTGATTTTGTATCCATAACATCAAATTCACTTGAAAATTGAATCCAGCCTCTACCCTTAGTGATAGTTTGATTAGATGGTGCTGTGATGTGCAATGTAGTCTATTATCACCATAACCTATCTGAAGGAGGTACCTAATCTACTAATTACTGGTTAATCACTTTTTTACTTGTGTAAGGGCCCCTGAATTTGAAGACGTGAGACAGTATCCATTACAGGCCTATCAGCGAAGGCCAAGTTTCTATCGATCTCTGGCTTCATTTACATTCACTTGTTCTTCAAACCTAGTATTTAGGCATGATTAATGTCAACTGATAGATCAATTGACCAGTATCTAACGTTTATTAGTCTAAACGCTCACGTGTTTAATTACATATGAAATTCTTATGAAAATCGTCTAGTTTTATGCCTCAGCTGAGGTCTGAACCTGTGACCATTGCAGTGTAACCTACAATAGGAGCTCAGTTGTTACCAACTAAACTAGGGACGCCAATCCCTAAAATGAGAAGCATAATGTGAGGACTAAAGATAGCACCTCAATTAGTTACAACAGGTAATAAATAAGTATCACAATGTTGCAACAAATTGCAATATTATTAAAATTTAAGTTGTAACAGGTGACAAATAAGTGTCATAATATTGCAATGCCATCTTTAGTAAGGACCAAATAATTAATATTAGAAAATAGTTTTTTTTTGATAATTATCATATATTAGAATTTCAAGAAAATTTTAAGGATATGAAACAAATTCTTTATGAAAAAAGACTTTGAAATAAAAAATATATGATAGATTGTAATTTATGCAAAAATAAAGCTATCTAAAATGATTATAACATGAACTAATATTATTTAAAGTTTGTTATATCATTACAACTTGACTTTCTTATACAAAAAAATACATTTCAAAAAATGATAAAAGAAGTTAATCATGTATGTATTTTTATCCTAAATTTCATTATAAGTAAATTTTATTGAATGATATTAGAAAGCAACAAAGTGTTATGCTTGAGAAAATTATGATTAGGGTTACAACAAATAATTCCTTTAAGTTTAGAATCAGTAAATCTTATTACAATTCAAAAATTTGCTTAACATATTTGGTATTATATAGATGTAAATAGAAAAGAAATATGGCTGAATATGCAATAAAAAAAAATATAAAGATCATATATGAATTTCTGATCATATAATTGAAGAATTAAATAAAATTGCTTTATAATTTTGTGTTTAATTTTATTTTTAATATGTAAAATATATAAAATCATTATCACGTGTCTTAAATTTAATTGGTTAAAAAACACAAAATGACTTAAAATTTTCGGGCTATTGCATATCTGCGCAATTTTGGAATGAGTCAATTGATGCCTCATTTGACCATATGAAATTTATATGAAATTGTTAGACACACAGTTTTCTAAAAATGGGCAGATATGTTTTGAAATGTACCACAACTAATTCGGGACAAATTACAAAATCACGTGGTCGGATTCTGATGTAATTTTTTTGATGATTTTATCATTCATCTAAAAAAATCGGCGAAACCAACTTTCTACTATTATTAACGTTCCTGATTCTGGGTGAAGGTCCCTCCCTCATTGTTCGATAATTAATTGTACTTTTGTTAACCTTTCACTTAGGTTTTTAGACATGTACTACTCAAAGCTTAGGCACTCGTTCCTTTCTCGTTCAGCTTACTCGCTTGGAAATCGTTTGGTAGTTATACGCAAAATTAATTAAGTTCAAATTGTATAATTATAATAATGCAAATATTTGCGGTCACCTTAGGGATTAAATGCAAATTTTCAATATATTTCTTCCCGAGCTCAAAGGTTAGATAGATTATTTGCTTTTTAACTTGTAATTATTATTCATCAATTAAATTTTAACAATTTATTTCTCTATTAATTCTAAAAGCTCCAAAGTACGAGGAAGTGTGATTGGGATCGATTTAGGAACAACTAATAGTTGCGTAGCAGTTATGGAAGGAAAGACACCTCGCGTAATTGAGAATGTTGAAGGTGGTCGTACTACACCTTCTGTCGTTGGCTTCACGAAAGAAGGTGAATTATTAGTTGGTTTACCTGCTAAGCGTCAGGTATGTCAAAAAAAAAAAAAAACTGATGGAATATTAGTGGTTTATTTCTATAATATTCGAGGGAGAAACATTTGAGGGATTGGAGGAACAAACCTTTCTGTGAATACTTGGGTGGAATTCACCCACTTTTATACTTTCAGTTTCTGTGACATGTGATACAAAGCGGTGTAACGAAGTTTGCATATATGATCAAAAATAGTAACCACCTTAAATATTCATTATAGGCTATTGTAAATCCAGAAAATACTTTCTTTGCTACAAAGAGATTGATCGGTCGTCGATTCAAAGATCGTGAAGTACAACAAGATATAGGTCATGTTCCATATAAAATCATTGAACATTCAAATGGTGATGCATGGTTAGAATCTCGAGGAAAGAAATATAGCCCTGCACAAATAGGTGCTTTTGTTGTTGGAAAAATGAAAGAAACTGCAAGTAAGAATTCATATAGCCTGATCAATTATCAAATATAATTCATTTGTAAATTAATTTTTATTACTAATTTAAAAGGTTCTTATTTGGGAAAATCTGCGGATAATGCGGGTACGAAATGCAAAATACTAGTTTCATGAATTATTACATAAAACAATTTATAATAACCTATTTTTTTTTTTGTTTATATATAAAAAAAAAAAGTCATCACTGTTCCTGCATATTTCAATGATTCTCAACGTCAAGCTACTAAAGCTGCTGGACAAATAGCTAATCTTAATGTATTACGTGTGATCAATGAACCTACCGCTGCAGCACTTGCTTATGGTCTAGATAAAATTGGTGATAAAGTTATTGCAGTTTATGATTTGGGTGGTGGCACATTTGATATCAGTATATTAGAAATTCAAAAGGGAGTTTTTGAAGTAAAATCAACAAATGGAAACACTCATTTGGGTGGTGAAGATTTTGATAGCACTTTGGTTAAATATTTGGTTGATTCATTTAAAAAAGAGGTCTGTATTGATTGATTGAATTTATTAAATATCTTATGTCATAATTTTAATCAATTGATGTCTATATTTATTTAACAGCAAGGAATAGATATATCAAAGGATAACATAGCTATCCAGCGAATTCGCGAAGCAGCTGAAAAAGCTAAAATTGAACTTTCATCTACTATACAGGTAATTGATCCGAATCATTTGGTAAATTAAAGATATATAAGAAGAAAGCATTTATATTATGTTTCAAATATAGACAGATATAAACCTTCCATATATTACTGCTGATGCTACTGGACCTAAGCATATCAACATGAAGCTTACTCGTTCTACATTTGAAGCTCTCACAAAGGGACTTGTTGATAAAACTGTTGAACCTTGTAAGTTGGCTTTGAAAGATGCTAATGTTGAAACTAAAGAAATCAGCGAAGTTATACTGGTCGGTGGTATGACACGTATGCCAAAGGTTATCGAAACGGTAAAAGCATTATTTGGTCGTGAACCTTCAAAGAGTGTTAATCCTGATGAAGCTGTCGCTATTGGAGCTGCAATTCAGGTAATTATTATTCTAGTAAATTATTTTCAATGTCTTATAGATCTTATTATGAACGAGTATTTTCTTTATAATGTTAGGGCGGTGTACTTGCTGGAGAAGTTACAGACATTTTATTATTAGACGTAACGCCACTGTCACTTGGAATCGAGACTCTTGGTGGAGTATTCTCTCGTCTAATTAATCGAAACACGACAATTCCTACCAAAAAATCGCAAGTATTTTCAACTGCCGCAGATGGCCAAACAAGGGTTGAAATTAAGGTTTATCAAGGTGAAAGAGAATTAGTTCGTGATAATAAGTTACTAGGAAACTTCCAATTAGGAGGAATTTTGCCAGCTCCTAAAGGAATCCCTCAAATC